CTCACCTATCCTCAGTCCATAAATATGGCCTCCCAATTAAGTGCAACTGGGAGGTGCTGCCATAAAGGCTGGACTCACTGCCAACACCCCAAAAGTTAATGGCAGAAATGTAAGTCAGAGAGCTAAGTGACGAGTGATCCTTCCAGACTGCTCTTCTTGTTTATTCAGGGTTTAGTCAGAAAAATGCAAAGCCAAGGGAACGAGGGGAGGAAGAGAGCCATGCCTGGCACTCAGATATTATTATGAGGACCATTGTGAAAGCAATGATGATGATGAAGGAGGAAACAAAAAGTCAGTGTAGCTGCTTGCTCACCTGGCCTTTTACAGCTTGGCCTTTCCTGTCTACAGGGGAGGTCACATAGATTTCCTTCATGTTCTTCAAGTGGGAGTAAAAAATAAACGAGAGACGTCCATCCACACAGTCAGGGCGATCTGTGCAGAGAAGCAGCAAACACTCAACTTGTGCAGAAAAGTGTGCAGCTCTTCAAGTCCATCACCTACTACCAGCCTCCATGCTACTATCTATTCCTTCTACTCATGCCTGAAAGAATTGTAACCCCCTTTTCCTCACTGAGTGACATGTGAAAGCAGAAAACACCGGCTGTGGAGAAAGCAGGTCCTACGGGTGAAAAAGGAGAATTGCCACAAGGTGGAGATCAAGTTCAAGAATGGAAGGCAAGGTAGGACAAGACATTCAGATGGAGTCAAGTATATCCTTGGCACTTCCCTCTCATCCTTGGTCCATTCTACCCCTTGGAGGGTAGAATCAGCTGCAATAGCATCCTGTAATGCACAAAAATAGGTCACCTATCTCTTCACCATTTCTGCAGTGAGTGCAGAAATAGGAATAGAGCTAAAGGGAAAAAGATAATCAGGTACAGCATTCAGTAATTATCTAAAAATTAAATTAGAGTCCAGCCTAAATCAGGACAGAGAGACAGACTCTGGCCTCATGAACTCCACTGAAAGACCAGTGCACTTTATTATTCTTCATAGAGTTGCACTTAATTTACACCAATGAAACTGAGCTGAATGTTCAGGTTTTTCAGAAAATGCCTCAGTTTGCAGCTGTAACAAGTCCAGACACACTGGGGCATAAAACATCATCTTGAGTTTTGGTCCTGCTCCCTCTTTCCTTCTCTTCTAATGCCTCCATCAAGGGGAATTGTTTGCTCTGGATTATTTCAGAAATACCTTCTCCAAAAAAATATCTTTATATGTGTTCTTTCAGATATGGGCAATATTCATTAGATCACCATGGGCATTCCAGTGTGGTGTCTAAGATGCCAGAAAAAGGACATAGCTGGCTGCAGAAGCAAATCAGTCATAAAATAAACACATGTGGCTATTGCCCTCTGCAGGTTACGACAGCACGAGAGGAAATGAAAGCCTGCAAACAGCACTTTCATAGGGAAAGGTAGACACAAAAGTTGGGTGACCGGAGAATTGGACAAGTTCAATGACCATGGGCAGGCTGCTATGAGTAGTGGGAGAGCTGGAGACAGAGAGGAATGCCATAGAGGAGTACAGCCCCCAGCAGAAACATGTCTAGGGCTAGAGAAGCACAAGAGGTACGAGAAGAAGGGAGCCCAATACTACCATACCCATATCGATGCTGATGCCTCGCTCAAAAGCTGCAAAAAATTGCTCTCCCTCAAACATCTCCACCATGTCGGATGGCTCAGGTCCTCGATAGCGGTCCTGCAGCTTCTTCAGCACTGGGTCAACCTGACAAGTATGACAACACAGGATCCTGTGTTTGGTCTGAAGCACGTCCGTCCCTTGACCTGTGTCCCTATGCCCATGATGTTCCTCTCACTCACCTTCAACAGGGAAAGTCCATTTTACATGAAAAGGATGTAAACAAATGAACAAACACCCACCCCCTCCTATCCCAGGTACATTCACTACAGACAAGGAAGTGATGCTCTGAGTTTTGTGGTTTCCCTATTTCTCTTCTCAAATAAAAAGCAGAAAAGCCTATGTGGACTAACAAAGACAGGCCATCCCAAAGCTGCCATTAAAAAAGCATGTTCAGCAATGTCTCTACCTTTTTAACAGGCCAGTAACCTTCAAAGACAGGGAGGGATATACTTGCTACGTTATCCCCCTCACAGTATGCCATTAAAAGACATTTTCTCTGTAAAAAGACACATGCTACAATAGCACACAGCTGAGGACACTGGAAAGATCATTTTGGCTTTGCAGCCTGTGTTCACACTGTCAGATCTGGGGTCTCAGAGGCAGTGCAGGAGTCAGCCTAGAATCAAGGAGTCTATTCTTTTATTTGTAACAGCAAACCTTCCCTCTCACCCCATGACCATCCCTGGCAGGAATACAGATGCCCCTGAACCCCGATCTCACTGTGAGAGAAACAATCTTAGCCCAGAACTCAAGATATAAAGAATCCTTACAGGTAATTTCAATACAGCAGAACAAATAAACTAAAAAAGGAGCAACTACACCAGAGAATTATGCAGAGTTGGACATGCAGCCCAGGTCTGGAAGTCTGATAAAATAACCCTCACCTCACTGAACTGCCCTGTCTGTCAAGGTACACGCTCTACAAACACAGATGCACACTTACTTTGCTAACATCTGAAGCAACACTGATACCCCTAGGGCAGAGGCAGCAGAAGAGGATGCGTGAGTGCTTCTCATCACCTTCCCATCTCCTTCCATACAAAGTCAGCCAGATTAGCTCAAACTAATAGTACAAACTAACCTGATGCTGCACTGAAGCAGATTAAGGAGGTCTCGTATGTTCTGTTCTGCTGCTTGAATTGTAAACAGCAAGGAACATCAGGAAGAGTACCATTTCTAACCACTCCAGCTGAAACCAAAGCAGTGCTTCTGCCCACACTGCTAGCCCATGTCAGACAAATGACACGTTAACTTTAATATCTTTGACTGAAGTTTAAGCCAACATGTTTTGCCTCATTTTTGCTAGACGCTAACAGCACACAGACGGCCAGTTACTGTGGCTCAGCTGATTTAGCAGCCCAGTCCTCAAGGTTTGCGGGGGAGAAAATCACTGCATGGCATCCACCACTGCATAGAATGTTTTCCTTCTTCCCCTAGCTCCCAGTGAGCCAGTATCACACTAACAACACAGTGTGGTGACAGCATACCCCAGCTATGACCCCGGGGCAGTGAACAGGACCATTTGGTGCACTGCTGCCCTTACATCCTACAAAGGGAGGCCCAGGAAGCTCAGGAGCAAGGCAATGCAACCCAGATCAGACCTTGTTCTTGGGGACACACTGTAGCAGGACTTGCTCGGGGTCCTTCCTCCTCTGTAGAGCAATGAAGTTCACCTGGTACATACGCAGCCGCTCATAGACTTTCTTGGCAATGCCTCCAATGTAGGTCTTAGTGGTGTACCACAGCCAGTACCTGGTAGAGAAGGAATTAAGAAAAAAGAGGGGTCCTGCCCAGGAAGAGAAGCCAGTCTTACATCCACAAGACTGTAAAAAATGATGGGTAGAGACAAAGTGCTAAGCTGGGCCTGACTTGCAAAGGAAAAAGGGAACAAGCATGACCTCTGGTCAGAGTGTGGGAAAAGCAAAGCAGAGGAACATACCATCTTTTTCTCGGGACTAATCCTGCACTTACCAGGAGAAGTGTGTGACTTCAAACACTGCATAAAGATGGGTGAATTCCAGCACCACCTGACTGGTAATGTCATCCCAGGTTTGACCCTCCAGGTCGCCATGGAGAAGATGCAGCCTTGACCGATCCAAATTTATCCCTAAAGACAACAATGATCAAGAGATGCTATATGCAGCAGAAGCCTTTATTCATGGCTTTACAAACCCAGTCACAGCTTTGGGTGATTCATTTTTCAAAAGTGCCAAATTAAGGCTCATGGCCTTCTCTTCAGCATCCAGGACTGAACTTCGGTCAAAGAGCAGCAATAAAATCATGAGGCTACCCCAATGCTTCCAGGATATTCTGGCAGAATATGCAGACTTAAACTGATAGTGTGCTGATTTCCACCAACAGATTCATTAGACAATTCCCATCACCAATATCTAGGGTTATTAAGTTCTATCTCTTTCTAAACATATATCCCACAGACTTTTCAATCCTGATGCACTTCAGACATACAAATACCAGGTAGTGTTACAATGAAGGCCAAGCTGCACCCAAAAAGATTTTACTTCTTCACAAGAAAGCCAGGAAAGGACAAAGAAAATAGGAATTAGGAGACACAGGGTACTCAGCATGCAAACAAAGGAATCCCTGGCAAGGCTGAGGCTGCTGATAGCAATATTCAGAGTGGAAAATGGCTTATGATCGTACACTTTTAACTGCGGTGGCTAAGCACCTGATTCATGAGTAAAGAAGTAAGAGAGAAAGCAGACCTCTGGAGGCAGCATCTTCATTACCAGCGTCAAGCTAATCCCAATCATGAATCAAGGCCCTTTTACAAAGCATCTCCTCAGTTGGCGGGAGTGCCTCGCCAACCCGTTATACCAAACCCAGCAGTCTAAATACACACGCAGTTCAGCAGAGAAATCCATTTGCCAAGACCATTCTTCTAGCTTGTGCTGCTGGTCTGTGAAGCCCAGTGCTGGCCTGCTGGACCTGAACTATCTTCAGCTCCCCCCACCCTGCACCACCACTCACTCAGCAGACACACCTTGCTGTTCCTGCAGGAAAAGCAGCAAGCTTTATTATTAACAGGAGAGGCAAACAAAATTCCCAGCTTGTCATTCATGGTTTTCCACATACGGCGTTTGTCTTTGCCAGTTTTGGGAATAAACTGACCTGTGACCCCAGGCGGGAGGGGCAGCTGAATTCTCACTGGCCTGAGAAAATCCACCAGGGAGTCCTGGGAGAGGCAGAGTAGGGGACTGGCTCTGCATGCTGCATCAGCTGTGATTTCTTCTATCTCTTCTGCAGAGACCGGCAGCACCTGGATGTGGAAGAAGCACGGTGAGTGGAGCAGTCAGGCATCCAAATTCCCGCATTGCCAGCCAGTTCCCCCAGCACCCAGCAGGCAAATGCTGCTCTTGACTCAGGGGCTGGTGAGAAACAGAAGGACAGTGAACTTTGGCTGAAGTCTGCTCTGATACTGGTGTCAACCTGGTAAGCTGGGACAGACCAAAGTATTACAATAGCATTTAGCACTATCTAGCAACTCTGCAGAACAATTAGGAATTTAGAACTAGATTCGCGTAAATAATCCCCCCGACTCTCACTCATTGAGCTGTTCTGCCAAGCTCAGTATGTTTTGTATGGGAATAAGAGGCAAAATTTCCTTGTATTCCCTTCACAGCAGCTACCTGCTGATCTGCCAGAGGGAGCGCTGGCAGAGCTGCAAGGAGATCCCTTTCCCACACAGGGCAGCTTGGACCAGAGCCCATTTTGCAGGCAGGGAAGCTAAGACAGAAGGTGATCTGAGGATGGGCCAGCCCATGAGGCATCCATGTCAGACACAATTACCCTACGGCAGACATCTCACCTTTGGCTCCCCCTACTTGGCATGGGACAACAGCTGCACTAGGGCTTACCAAAGCTTGGTTTTTTAAAGCTTTCATACCTGCAGCTTGACATTGCGAGTCTCTTCAGTGACTCCAGGAGGAAAGGTCACTTTGATGTTTGGATCCACACTGGAAAAGAGCAATGTCCCCTCTGTTGGCACTTTGCATTCATTTTGCACAAGTCGAGACACAACGAGGAACCAAGAGAAATGAAGGACACGACAGTGAGCCATGTGCTTCTGTAACAGAAGACAGGGAGGAACAGAACACATATAGGCATATCACATAATACAATAAAGGCAGGGAAATAAGTGCCAGTAACAGCCGAGCAGATGAAAGCAGTAGAACAGGGATGAAGCATGGCAGACTGCAACTCATCACCTTCAGGAGACATACCTCCATGAGAGAGGAAACCTGGAGGTGAAATCCCCTACATTTTATAGTAGCTGGTCAAAACACAGCTCATGAGATGTTTCAAATGGGCTCACTCTTGGCTGGACAAAACCGAAGAAGGGAACAGGAACAATGTGTATCACTTGTCATTCCAATCTGCTTACCTTTGATTTTCTCTTCTGCTCCACTCTTGTTCTCAGATCACTCCAGCTCTGCCCACTGAAGGTCCGAACTACCACCTCACGCTGGTGAAGGGTTTGAGGAGAGGCATATGGCATCCAGATTTGCACCTCCTGGCAAAAATGCATTCCCGTGAGACACCAATAGGAAGGATAAAACCAAGTCTAGCTCTGCTCTGTGCTTCCTGTGCAGACAAGAAGGGAGAAGGCTAAGCATGGCCTGTATGCCGGGAGTGGAGGAGGAGATAGGAACCTGCTCTGTCCTGCAGCCTCCAGGGAGGTGACAGGAGACGCCAGGCCCACTATGAAGTGTGACAGCAGGAAAAGTTCAGCAGCTTGTAGGCAGAAAGGGCAAACTCACTTTTGCAGTGAGTTGCTGTCAGCCATGAAAAGACTGGTGGTCTAAGTACTCACCAGCTTGAATGAACACCACACAATCAGACTTTCAGGGAAGTATGCGAATTATTCTCCTTGCAGGCTAAGGCCAAATGCTGGAACAGCACTTATCCTTTGGCACAGGAGGAGGGTTGTGAGTGAGGCAGGTTATAGCTCAGCTCAAGCAGCAGTGGGGAAGGCAAAGGAGCCAGACTAGCACAGTGCCAGAGCAGCTGGCTGTGTCCTTTCTGAGTCTTTGCAGCAGGGCTTCTTTGGAAGGCAGTCCTGCAGCTACTTAAAAGCAGCAGTGATGGGGGTAGCTGTCTCAAAGTCTAAAAAGACTCTCTCAGAAGATGCTGCTGAGCTACTGCAGAGGCAGATTGATCAGGAGGTGGCCTGGGTGTGTCCTCACCTGCTGGAATTTGACCCCGTGAGGCTGCAGCTCCAGGACTCTACTTAGCAGGACATCATGATGTCTCAGCTTTACCCACTGAGGGTCCGGTGCGAGGGTTCGGAAGTAGATCCGCAGAGGGTCAGAGGCAGCCCCCGGTGGAAAGTAGAAATGGATGCCACAGGCCAAGACCACTTTGCAGCCTTCAGAGGTGACAGTAAAGCTTCCAGAAGAAATGCATGAATGTGTGACACCATGCACTGACTTCAGCCCTCCAAAAATCAACAAAAGAATCTCCCACCTTGTGTTTGACTGGCCTACTGAGGCCATAAGCTCCTATACACGTGTGCAATACCCACCAAGCACCAATCTTGTCTGGGACCTTGTTACACCACTGTAATATAACTTCTTAATAACAGAGGCTTACCTGTCCTCTGCTGATGCAAGGAAGAGTCTTTGTAGCCCTCCAGCATTGGATTCATCTGCATCAATAAGAAGGTTTGGGGAGGAGGAAGAGACAGAGGTTACTTAAATCAGGGTAGACAAGGCTGAACTTGCATTTCAGTTTTGGCTTAATCCTAACCTGACAGAAGTCACTAATGGAACCCTGCTCACACTGCAGCGAGTTTCAGATCAAGCAGCAGCTGGAGGGGAAGAGGCCTAGGGGCCCCAAGATGCACTGGAAATGCTGACTGTCCCCCAGGAGAACTCAGAAGCAGGGGGAATTAGAAAATACTTGGATCTACCACCTCTGCAGCTCTCAGGGCCATGTTTAGTTGCCTGGGGCCACCCCTGGGCATCAGTGTTTGCTCTTGTGAACATTAGCACCGTTGGGAAACCCTGCTCAGATTCCTGCTCATTCACCACCCTCACGTTGGACAAAAAGCAGGAGGTAAATGCACAGCAGAATGACCTCTTATTGCTCTCTGTGCTTCTAGCATGACTCACCACAGCCATAGGGCCATGCAGCAAGTCCAAGAACTGGTGCTCACCTCTGCTCAAAAAGGCTGGATGCCTTTAGGAGCCTCTCCTGATCCATTTCCTGTGAATCCCATTTTCACTTCCACTGTAAAACCTTTCCTAGCAAGCCCAATTCCAGAGACCACGGAGCCCTTCAGATTGGGATTGGGCTTGTAAAAATAGAAGTTGTAATGCCTGTATCCTTACAACCTAGTAATTATTCCAGAGAAATAAGCACTGATCTGATTCCCCCCCGCTTGTCTTCCCTAATCCAAGCCATCCACACCATGCTGGGCTGAGTGAGGGAGCAGCTGGGCAGAACCCTCAGCAGCAAAAGCCTTGCAATTACCAGCCCGCAGGGATGGCTCAGTTTCTCCTAAGGGATTGCCTCGGAGATGCACAAATGGCGAAGTCTGGATCTCAGGGGGCACAGCACGGAGGCAATTGTTCCGCAGATCAAGTCTGGACAAGTTGGGCAGGCTGGCAAGCGAGGCAGGGACCGTCACCAGGAGATTGCTGTGGAGGTGGAGCCGCCGCAGAGACTTCATATTGGCTGCAGGTTAGAACAAGAAGTGACCCCCCCCATCCATGCTGTTAATTGCATCGCACATCAGTGCTACCCCCCACCCCCCCTGCCGCTCTCCTCATCACATGTACACACACACACACACAAAATAAGGGAAAAGCACAAGAGCCCAACATCTCTTTAGCTCACAAAATAAAGGGGTCCAGGGAATTAGCTGAGATGCAACACAGCCTCCTCCATCCTCTGTTTCTCGGCACCCAGCTATGAGTATGGATGTAGGATGCTTCTGTAACAGCATCAATGACAACCCCGGGCACAAAGTATTACAGGACCTGAGAGCCAGGAAGCTGGGCAGCAGAAGTCAGAGCCTGGTTCTGTGGACTGGTCTACACCAGAGAGCATGATTTCAAGCCCAGATTTGCATGCCATTAAACCCCAGCTCTTCTGTTTCCAGTCCTGGCTGCTACCCAAAACCAGCCAGGCCAGATCCTCGGCTATTGTAAATTGTATTGAAATGTTAGCAGAAATCCACAGGAGCAGAAAGTGTGGTCCAGAGAGTTGTGAATGCTCAAAGGGACTGACCGAACGAAGCATGTTTCTTCTGGATATCTGTTCCATTTGGCTCTAATGTAACAGATGGTTTGTGCTAACAGCTCTGGGGACAGAGACGAAGGGCCTCAGAGGTCCTAGACTATACCAAAAAGCTCTGCAAGCCCATGTCCTTCTTTTCCCCTAGAAAATACTTACCTAAGGAGTCTGGGATGCTCAATAAGCAATTCCCAGAGAGATCCAGTTCTGTGCAGTTGTGCAGATTCCCAACTTCTTCAGGGAGGAATTCCAAAGCATTTTCCGAGAGATCTAGGTCCTGCAGCTCTGCCAGCTCTCCAATGCTCCGAGGTAAGTCCTTCAGCTGATTTTTCATAGCAGAGAAGAAAGTCAGCTTGCTCAGACAGCCAAAGTCCTCAGGGAGTGCCACCAGGCTGTTGTGGCTCACCAGGAGCACCCGGAGGCTGGGGAGGTGGAGGATGCAGGTGGGCAAGGTAGAGAGGCTGTTGAAGCTGAGATCCAGGTGGGTGAGACACCTCAAGTTCCCAACGTCTGGTGGCAAGCTTGTCAGGGAGCCATGCTGACATGAACCAAACTCATCCCTGGCATGGCCACCTGGGTGTGAAGTGGAGGAAGAGGTCAATATTCTACAGGGATACCTCACCGGCCTCATATGAGACTCCTTAGCACAGAGACCCAGAAGATGGGGAGTTACTGATCACAATGAGCAGCACTGATTACAAAGTACTCATGGAGAAGTGGGTTCTCTGCTCCTTGCCTCAGTTTTCTGATCAGTGAAAGGGGTATAATGGTGAACCTGTTATGAAATCAAGAGATGCCACAGTCAACCAGTACAGTTCTGCTAAACACATCTGGAGTTGAAGCTCAGGCCACCCCACACATCCACCACCCTTCAGTATGGTGGCCCATACCCCCGCAAGCCTCCCACACTCCTTCCCCACCACCTCCCCACCAGTACCAGTGGCCACACGCAACACTTTGTGGACTTAAGGAGACATCCCTCACTCTCCAGGCTTCACCCATGCTGTTGAGGGACAAACAGCCCTGAGGGCTGAGATCTGCCCTTGCAAGACTGGAGAGCAGACGTGAGGAAAGCAGTGAAAATGTGGAAAAAAGCAGGTAATTCAGTATTGTGTAGGCCAGGCAGTGCAGGGAGGGAAGGATATAAGTCCCTCACCCCAGCTTGTGACACTGAATCTGGAGAAGGGCTGCACCCACGGAAAATAAGTCAACCAAACAAAAGGAAACTTCCCAAACTCTCCATTTCTTCATTTCCTACTCTCCCTCCACTTTGCTGATTGTACACACGTACAGCAGAGGGCACCAAACAGTTTTTATGCAGCATAGTGGTAAAAAATGAGAACAATCAAACTAACAGACACATTGCACTTTGTACACATGAAAATCTTAGTGAACTATTTTATTGCACTTCAGGATGATCAGGGTGTGTTTACATCTCACAAAACAAGCTGATAAAAGGTATTGCCATTATCCCCACCTTACTAAAGGGGGAAAAGAAAAATTAAATTATTCACATGAGAAATCTGTGGCAGATATAGAAACAAAACACAATCTTTTTCCGTTTTCAGCTAGAACCCTGAATTCTGGCTACAAACTCCCCCTTTTTTCTCTCATTTCTTTTTAAAATCCCACCTCCCGAAGAGCAAATGATTCAGTCTGATACAGAAATTATACCATTTGTGTTGAAATCCTCCTACAATAAAGATATGAAAATCAAAGAATGATCTAATATTTATAGGTCTGTTATTACAGCTTGCCAAACTACGTGCACATCCTGAGTCATACTTTTGATAAAATGTTGAGCAGCCTCTTCTCATCTGTCTTAAACTCTGCTAAACCTATGCTCACTGACACGAAGAAGGATTAAGCTAGGATTGATTCAGATGGACACGCAGCAAAGACAGTTCATTACATTTCCAAAAATGAAAGAGGGGCTGAACATTTACAAAAAAATCCAACACATTTCAATCCCCCTCTCCTGGCATAACTGTGCAAAAAATGCTGCTCTTCTAGAGAATGGCTAAAGAAAATATTGCTGCATCAACACAATCAGACTCCAAAAACCGGTCCCCAGGCAACTGTAGAAACAAAGGAAAGAAATAGAGTCTAGAAGCTGTATCTTGTTGAAATCTGCATGCAGCTCTGAGGAAGGCTAAGAGCCAAAGCTGTAGTAAGGGGCACTAGAACAAAACAATTCTAAGGGCAGTTTGTCCTGCAGATGTGGAGAGAAGGATGAAAAAAAAGCTGAACCTAGAAAAGCTGGATGGTGTCGGGCCCAGGAATTTACCTTTGAGCACCAGGGATTTCAGGTGCTTCAGATGAGGAAGGATGCCCAATGTGGTGCCAAGGAGGTGATCGTTGCTGCTGAGCCGGAGGAACTCCACCTGGACCACCTCTCTCTGTCGCCCCTGGAACAGCTGGAGGAACCGGCAGCAGCCGTCAGGATAAACATCCAGGTTCAGCCTGTTGTCTGCAAGGCAGGAGCCAGCAAGCACAGGAGCCCCCGAAGTCCCCTCCCCGCACTCGTCCCTGAGCCCCAGCAGCTCTGCCATCTTCTGCATCTCGTCCACGGGGTCTGGACATGCTCTGACTTGCCAGGCAGGCCGGCACCACAAGGCAACCAGGACAAGGAGGAGGATGGCTCTGAAAGAGAACACCAAGTGCATCATGAAGGCCACCTGCCTCAGCCCAGAGTGGCTGGAAACAGTTTATAATCACAGCAAGAGGGCAGGAGGGTTTACACGTGTGTTACTGAAAGCTTTGTGGGCAGAGAGCACAGAAATGCAGGGGGATGGATGCCATGGAGGCTTCTCCTCCTAGGGAAAACCTCTGAGTTTTCCCAGCCGACATCTCGGCAGGGAATGGAGCAATCACCCACCATCAGAATAAATAGCAATATTAACTCTAAAAGATATAAATGTAAAGGCCAATGCCTTATGCAGGTTTCAAAGTGCCTTAGCGGGAAGCTTTACAAGTGGAGGGGGAAACCGGGGCAGGGAGGGCCAAGCCAGGAGCAGAGCCCAGAGCCTGCTCACAGGCTGTGACAGGTCCTCATCAAACCTGGTTGTGAACCCAGGTGCCAACAGGATAAAAGTGACTGTAGATGAAAACGGGCAAAGGGCAGCACAGCAAATGTGTCAGGGCCAGGGAGGGGCTTAGAAAAGGCATATCCACAGCACAGGAGCTTTGGACTGCGCAGTGGGGCTGGGGCTCTTGCAGGTTTGCCTCCGCAGGGACACTCTAATGCAGCAAACCAGACATGAAGCCATGGCTGGCTAGTTAGCAGCTAGCCCTTGTTTCTCCCCTCACAGCACCCTCCACGCTAAAGAGAAAGGGGAAAAGAAGATATCACATAGTGCATGCTAAGAAGGATTTAAACCTAAAGGAGCAGAGATATGAAATTTGAACAAATTAATTATTCCTCTGCCACCTTAGTGTGAAAAAGCCTTCATCCACCTGGAACTTACAAAATTAGCCACTATCATCATAGCACACTGGTAGTGTAAAGATGAGCAGAGGCACTATGATTGTTTTTATATCAGTAGTCACATACTTCCAAGTCCCCAGTATCCTGGTCTTTTCACTTCCTTTATCTTTTGCAACTCCTCCTGAGCTTGGCAATTAAACTAGCTTATGGTGTGAATATCAGGAGTTCTTTTTAAACCCTGCCATGGATCCAATAGGCAAACAGAAGTTTCTTTTGAGTGATGCAGAACTACAAAAAACTTGTAACAGCTTTAACATCCAAGGCCAGCAGAAGCAAGCCAATGCCCCGCAACACCCTGAGGAGCAGCACTTTTTACTGTTAACCTGGGGGACATGGCAGTACTGATGTTCCCGACACAGTCTGGGGGGAGGCCTCACACCTGGCTCCCTGAAAGAGCAGAAACCTTACAGACACATAAGGAGAGGAAGAACAGGTAAATGGAAACTACTGCTTTAGTAAAAAGATATGTATTTCTTACAAAAAGGCTGTACACAACGCATACACAGCTCTCTTACAGATATGCATAAGCAAAAAGACCATCTGCTACAGCTTTGTAAAGCTACTGATGGTGAAGGAACTGGAGGGCAGCTCTGAATTGGCCAGGCTGGAAGAGGCTTGGAGACCACAAATGCAGCCTCAGGCGTGCGTACAGGACACAGGCAGGCACCCTTGTGCACGTGCACACACACACACGCACACACTCGCCCCGGGCTGTCCTCACTGCCCT